CCATATCAGTTGTCCTTGTATGAAATGTAGAACCATGACGCTTGACGAGCATGGGGTTTTAGAGCAAGTTCTTGGCATGCGTAGAGGGCATAAGAAATGAGTGGGTCCGATGCTCTCCCAAAAGCATTACTCCGGGGCTTCTCCTTCATCTGCTGGTTCATTCTCGGACGCAACATCATCGGCTCAACCTGACGCGCGTATGGATCGTTATTTAAAGAAATCGTACCGGGAACAAATGAAGATTTATGACAATCAGGTGAAGATGTTAGAGTTGGTGTCTAGATTGCAGCCCAACATCCAATTACCTACGATTGCTCGTCCAGAACCAGTTAACCTAGACGCTCCTCTGCCTCTTTCAGATGATGACAGTTCTGATGATGATTCAGCTGTTGGCGATGCTGCAAACCTAGAGGAATAGTTCTGTTATATGTTCTGTATGATTTTTCACTTTATTTAGACTTTTATATTTTGTTGAACATTATATATGCACTTCATGTAGTATTCATAATATATTTTATAAATTTATTTAGATTTATTGTTTTTAATATTAATTTATATTTTATTTCTAATGTATCTTAATAAATTATATTTAGTATGTAACATAATAATGTTTAATTAAAATTATTAAACATTAATTAATTGCCATTTTTTAAAAAATGGAAAAAAAAATTATTTCAGTTTTTGCGACGACATTTTTATACTTGTCGTCGCAAAAAAATTTGAATTATTTGCGACGACTTTTTGAAATTGTCGTCGCAAAAAATATTATATCACGACAAATTAACCAACGGCGTATTTGCGACGACGGTCATCGCAAAAGAAAAATGTCGTCGCAAATGTATTTGTGACGACACTGTGTCATCGCAAATAAAGTATTTGCGACTATTTTTTTGCGGCGACATATCTGCGACGACATGTCATTGCAAAAACTAGTATTTGCGACGACATTGGGGTTTTTGCGACGACTTTTTGTCGTCGCAAAAACCCCTTTTTCTTGTAGTGTGCCTCTTCTTTTTCTCTCTCTGTTTTTTTTTCTTTTTTCTTTTCTCTCTCTTTTATCATTCTTCTATGACTAGTCATGATATATAACAATAAGAGGATTTCTATTGTAAGACCTACTTTTTTTAAGTGAGTATGTATTGTTGCTTTGATAATTTGATTTAAGTTTTCAACATATGATATGTGATTATAACAGTTTTATGTTAAAAAACGTGAACACTCACGTCAATACAATTTTCAATTCTAGTAGTCTCTACCATTGAGGTTGCCATATAAAAATTGATTTCCTATACGTCTTTCACTCCCTAAAAGACTCCATCAAAATTACAGAACTTCCTTCCAATCTGAAAGGAAATAAGAGGCGGCGCAATTTGATTGATATGTTTTTCCTCACAATCATAATTTGGTCGCTGACCTCAGTCACGTGATTGGAGAATGGCTACGCTGTAGATTGCTAATAACCAATAAATTTTTTCCACTTAATTGGCTGAAAAGACAACTTCTGATCATTATCAAAGTTTTTGATAAGATTTTTGATGCTGACTAGTTTGGAGTACTGGATCAAACAGTTAGGGACACTAAGATGTTTGTTTGTTGTATATTCTGAATCATGATTTATAATTTTTTATAGTACTTTTTTCTTATAAAAAACACACGTAAAATGAAAATAATTCTGACTACACGAACTAAACGTCCACTGAATAGTTAATACAATCACAATGTAGTATTTTAAAAGAATTTCACATCTAGTCCTCTACCGTTTGATCCATAAAGTTGGATAAACAAATTTGACGTACATAACATTACTCAATAAAATATTACCATCTACCCAACTCAAATACATTTTCTTGTCACTTGGTCACTTATACTTTTTATATACGTAGTCATTAAAGGTTCGTCCATAAATATATATAAGGTGTGGGTTTAATGGTTACTTTAATATTTACACATTAATAGGTATCATTATTTTAGCAGTAGAATATCAACTTGTCGGTTATAATAAATTATATATTTGACCAAAATAATTTATGATAATTAATAAAATTAAATTTTTGTCACGTCACGTAATTAAATTTTTATATTTAATAGTAACAACTGATTGAAAACGTAATCATTAACACCTCGTCTACATATATAATATAAGAAAGGTAGCGTTCCATGTCTTGCATATTAACCGGATTAATTTTTATGCCAAACAGTACCTTTATTTTTTTATTTATTTATTTTTTGCTGACAAATTTCACGCCAAACAATGTCGACAAGTTAATTTATGTTTGAACAATATCCGTTTGCGTATCATATGGATTATTATTATTTTCTCTATTGTGTTTTAAATAAGGTGGGGAATTTGAATTCTCCATCTAACCTCACATTATTTTATTCTCATCATATGTAGTTGTGATTATAAAATAATGAAAAAAGGTATTTTCCACCAAAGAGAACTATTTTTTCTATTAATTTTAATTTCAATGGTCACGACCGAAGGAACTAATTAAAGCCTTGACTCGGACCAATCACTTTATAATTAGTGGTAACTTTTGCATCTGGGGACTTTTGCAATTTTAGAATATTAGTTCTTTTTGGGTGGCCATCAAACAAATATGGTGGTTAATGAGTTGAGAATCATAATAATGCATGCTTCGGTCTTTCACGGTATGTCTATCCACTTAAAAAGTACCTCAACAGCAAATTTAAAGAAACAATGAATCTGGACGCTTTCTGAGACGAGTTAAAGTAAATTAAACAACAGTTCTTTCCTTATTGCCAAATAAATTTCAATTGATGTTCCTCTAATTGTCAGGCAAAAGAATGATGTGTATCCCTCCACTTCTATTGTAATGACGGATTCAACCACACAAATTAGAAGAATTAGGCACTCTAATTTTAATTACCGACTAAATAAAAAATAACAAATTTTTTTGTGGGAGGTTCGTGTTAAGAATTATATGCTCTAATTCTAATTACCGAGAATAATAAAATCGTAATAAAAGAAATGAAATAAAATCAATACACAAATATAGAGGTTACATCAACATGAGACTGCATCCACAACTTAACGGTTTGAGATTTCAAAGGAAAAAAAAAAAAAAATTTAACCACAACCTTTTTTTATTAGTTTGAAGATTTGATTTGGTCAGTTTAGATTTGAGCTTAAAAAATTTTTAATGTTAAGATTTCAAAGTTTGTCATTGAACTCAAATAAAATAGCACTTAAATATATGCCGTTTTTCATTGTAAAAATAATTTTAGAAATTATATAGTGTTAAAAAGTTTGCTTTAATATTTTAGAACCTACTGAAATACCTAGAAGTCATGTCATGAAAAATTATTAAAAATATATAGAAACCAACTAATAACAAAGAAAATATTAATAGTTTGGTTCAATTTTGATTGTATTGGTTAGTTTTCATAATTTGTCCGTTTTTTGAACACCTCTGTCTTTAATTATCTTTTGGAAAAGATTATAAAAGTACTAGCATGGTTTACGTGCAGAAACGATCTTCTCCTTGAATTTTTTCCCCGAAATTTGAAATTAATTTTTTGTTGAAAAATTTGAAATTATTTTAAACCTGCTCTGTCCGAAATTTAATATTAATATTGTTCTATCTATATGTGCTTCTATTCCCAAAATTATGTTAAATGCTATATCATCCTTTTCTCCTAAATTTTTTGGTTCCTGTGCTACTCTCTTGGGATAGTATAAAAAACAAAAAGGAAATTGTACATATGAATAGACAAATTGAAATTATCAAAAATGAAAAAATAATAATGTCATAGTTAATGATTGAAAAAGTTAAGCCACCAATAAACAACAATTATTAAGGCATCGCCTTTCAAATTGTAAGATTTAGTGTGATTTGAATTGTGATTCAAATCATTATTTTAATATGTAAATAAATTGTAATTTAAAATGGGAATAAAATTCAAATTGTGTTTAAAAAAAGTGTCGAAAACTATGAATTGAGTTTTGTAATAAATTTTATAAAATCTCATTGTAAATGACATTAAAAAAAAAGAAAAATGTTAAATACAAACTCTTTTTTAGATGCCATCTTTATCTTTTGACAAGTGTTACCTTGATTCTTTAGACAGACACACATAAAAACTGGTGAAATTTTCAAAACATAATTACAACATTGCCACCCTCTCTATTCAAGACCTCCTCAACACACGTTCTTTTTTTTCTTTTTTTTTTTCTATTTGATCAGAAAAAAATACTTATAAAGTTAGTTTAAATATATTTTTGACAGTTGATTAAAATTTTCGAGTATTGGATATTGGCCTCTTTTTTTCCTAATTCCATGCTGGTCCTATCCCTCATGCGTTTATGGTTTTACTTTTCTATTTTTCTCTGCTTTAGCAATTTGATCTTTTATAAATGGAGTTTTGCATTTACAATTTTTGTTATCTGGAGAGATGTTTCAAAAATTATATGTGAAAATGTTTTAATGGGATTTTCAATTGGTGAGTGTTTTTAGTTTAAAAATAATAGTTTGCTTTTCATTAAAAAAAAAAAAAAATTGCGTTTGAAATTTACCAACCAAAGTTTTCATTTGTAACTATATATCTATATTCTCCAAATATCTCTATTTGCATAACTTATTTTTTTGTTTTTCAAAAAAAAAATGTTGATCACCAAAAGACCAACTCCATGGGTAATCCCACGTTCTCTCTTCTATAAGAGAGAGAGAGAGAGTGTGTCTGTTTGCTTATTAACTTGAGGCTGCAAGTATGATAACGTTTAACTAGCAGGTGCAGTTCTTATTTAAAAGAAAAAAAAAAGGAAATGCAAATAAGTGGCATTCTTGTACTATGTTCGGAAAATTTGACTTGTTATTAAGTGTGTTTATTTGAGAGAATTAAAATGACACTTGTTAAAAGATAAAAATAACATCTGAAAAAGAATCCGTAATAGAGTTCGTATTTAGCACTCTTCTTAAACACAATAGCAAATGATCTAGTTTGCTTTATGAAAATCAATACTGAACATTGAAGCAACAGGTGAAATCTGGTTTTCCTCTCAAGTTACCCTCAGAAGAGCAGCTTCTCCAGTAAGTTCGTTTAAAGCAGTCCACAATGAGCAGTCTGATCATATAATCTTTCCTCTGCCAATTTCTCTCTGTTCTTTGGGTGATTACGTGTTCTGATATTCTTTTTCGCAAAACCAGTTTTGATATCTTGAGGCAAGTCTCCCAATGCAATACTCCTCAAAATTGAGTTGTCTGACAACAAATAAAGCAATCTTAAGTACTTCTCATTTTGGTGCATATAAAACAATAGAAAGGAATGGATTTATAAAATAAATATGGAAGCATATTAGTCTGCAATACATAGGCATCAACATTCACTCTAAAATAATTATAAGAACTGTATGATTACAACATTAAAGAAGCGGCCAGCATTTTTAACTACAACAAAACTAGCATCAGATATTAACAACTTATGAACCTCAAAAACCTTTAAAAAGCATGCTTCTTCTATACAGTTGTAGGTGATATAGAAATAGAAATATGAGAAAACAAACATAAACAGCTGAAGTTCCACTTATGTGAGAAAATTCCTTCTTAATGGTATCCTTGTTAGTTTTTGATAAGTAAATCTTTCGCCTTGTTGAACATTGGAAAGTTTGAAACTTCTAATTTGTCATGCATTGTTCTCTTTCTCTAACAGCATAAATCTTTAAAAAAAAACATAAAAAGTAAATCTCATATTTAGAGATCTTCCACATCAGAAAAAAAAAAAAAAAGATAGTTGAATACCATTCATCCATTACTGGAAGAAAATAATCAACAGCGATCACATGATGAATATGTAATTTCATCTGTCTCAGTTAGGCTCGATGATTCAGGCTCGTTGAGGGTTGTAAGTTCATTTGTCTTGGTCGAGCTCAATGATTCAGGCTCATCGAAGGTTGTAAATTCATCTCTTTCGGCCGGACTTGATGATTCAGGCTCGTCAACGGTTGCAAATTCATCCGTCTCAGTCAGGCCTCATGATTTAGGCTTGTCAAGGGTTGCAGCTGATTTGTTTCTTGCCTTCTTCTGTAAAAAGAAAAAAAAAATCGAGACATGGAGAAGAAAGCTATTATAATCGTCACTAATATTATCCTTTTCCGTTCTAATTAATTAAAAATTAGGTAGACCATCAAACTGAGATCCAACTTACTTTTGCCTGAGAAGGAGTTAAATTGCATTTCTTTAAATCTTTGCTATATAGAACGTGGATTCCGCACTTTTTCACTTTAAAGTGTGGAGGCGCAATACCATGATTTTCTCGCCCTTTGCATTCAACGAATGAAAATGCAAATGATACACTTACTCCATCGGTGTAATTATATTCACTATAGTGTTGAGGTTCAAACCACATGTACAAATGATCTGAGACTGATCCAAATGGCATTCCAAGATTAATGGCTGAATATCCTTCATCCCACTGGATGCAATTGTATTTCTCCTCCTGGTTAGTTTTAAGTTTTAATTCACAGACTAAATTCAACCACATATATATATCGCCGTAACGGTCGTAAGTGTTCCCAACAGCACACAGCACAAAACCCAAGAAGTTGTTATGGGGAAGCGGGAACTCAATCCGACATCCCTCCGCTTGATGATCGAACCACTCTGGAATTTCATTTCCAGGACAACATGTACAAACTTGAAGATTTTCTTCCTGTAACATAGAAAAAAGAGAAAGAGTCATTTATTTCAATTGCATAAATAATTAGTTGTTTTTCTGTTTCTAACTATAATAGAAATAAGGCATACCTGATGTCCTAGGGATGCAAATCGGGTAGCCATGCGCAGAACTCTACGCTGGAATTCAGTTATAATGTTGTCCAGTGCCTTTTGACCCAATTTCGAGCAATTATAGAATATTGAAGTATTCTTTGTAATAGGATAATTATTCTCAAGCTCTTGTGTGAGTGCTCCTTCTGATATTGACACCTCCTCCAACAATGTGCATCCTCTTGCATCAAGATATTCTAGACTCAACGGAAGAGCCGGTATAGAACGAAGATCACTGCAATCAGTTAACTCAAGCATTCTCAGCTTAGAAGCGTCTTTGATGCTTTCAGGGATTTTCTTTATATAAGAGTGCCCAACATCAATGTTTTCCAAATCTACACCGGCGAAAGAAAAACTTCTAAGTTCTGGACAGCGAACAAGTTTGAGATCCGCAAGCTTAGGCATGTTAAAGATGATTTCTGGGTCAAACTTAAGATATCTACAAGAACGCGCACGTAGTGAGCGAAGCCCAATTAGATTTCCAAATGACGAGGGAAGCTTTCTAATATTTATTTCGTTTATGCAAATATCCGTTAAGCTTTCCATTGGTTTGGGGATATCCGGAAGGTTCTTCAGCTTTGTGCACCCAAAGAGACTGAGATCACGGAGAAACCTCAACTCAAAAATGCGAGGTGGTAAACTTTTAAGACTTATGCAATCAGATATGCAAAGCTTCTCAAGTTTAAGATCCTCAATTGATTGGAAGTCCAGTTCTTCTATTGTCATCTCCCCAATATGCAATTTCTCAATATTACTTGGAAGCACTGGAAGCTTCTTGAGATTTGGGCAGAATCGAAAGCTAAGCCCTCTCAACGAGTTCAGATTATTCAAACCACTTAGGTTTGAAAGTCGTTCGCAGTTATCAACTGATGAAGTCTCCGGATTGAAACTTGAACATAAATTTAAAGACTCCAGGCTCGTAGATGTAATCACTGTTGGAAGAAGGTTAAGAGGGCTAAGAGAAAGAGTTCTCAGAGATGCCGCGTCTAATATTCTATCTGGAACTTTTCGAAGGCTGTCACAGCATCTGAAATTGACATCAATAAGGTTGTTAAGATTTTGCTGAATCCGTGAATAAGGAATTTCACGCAAAAATTTACAACCCTCAAGATTTATCCTCTCAAGGTCTGGAGAAGCAGAAACATCTGGAATTCGAGTCAACTTATGAGAAAAACGTAGATCAATTCCTTTTAACTTCTTAAGGACCTGTAACATAAAGAAACGACAAGAATAAAGAGACTTTATAAATTTGGTTCAATAAAACAAATTGAAGGTATATACCTGGCCTCCATCCCAAAGTTGCTCAAGTTCACTAAATTTCATCTTCAGTTCAACAAGATTTTTCGGCTTAAAGTTTGGTGGTAAAGATTCCAAAGGATATGCCTCCCACTCAAGATATCGCAGCGAATTGGGAAGACACTGTAGACCTTGTTGAAGGTACATTCCTCGTTCCTTGCCTAAGTAATGATGACAAACGATTTTGAGCAATCTCAAACTAGACATCTTTCCAAAAATTGTAGGCTCCAAGTGTATGTCTTCATCAATTTCTGAATAATCCATGAATATTCCTTGAATATTTTCAGTCCCCTATAAAAAAAAAGTAAATAGTATATATCAACATACAGAAGGCATGGAATAAATTACCACAAGTATAGAGATAGAAAGAACTTAATCATCATAAAATAAATACTAACAAGGTGTTACATATAAATGAAACATACATTTAAATTAACTATCAAACATCATTTTTTGGTTGCATTTTTTTCTCAATAGAAAGTAGACACAACTCTAAAATGAACTATATTTGAAAATATCGACACTTACTACATTTTTCTTCAGGACTTTAATAATATCTTCAGCGATCCATAATCTGCTGCGTTTTGCTGGGTTTTCAGATTCTTGGCAAACAATGTCCCGACCTATATCTTGCACCAAGTCATGCATTTGAAGCTTGTTACCTTGAGGATCGATAGTTATGAGAGACTTATCAATGAGATTATCTATCCCTATATTTGCAGAAAAATTGCGCGCATTCAGAATGTTTTCTACAAAATCTCTACGCTTCCCTTTGAAGAAACATGCAATATCAAGAAAGATATTTTTCTCATCTTTCTTTAGTCCCTCATAACTTATTTTTAACACCTCGCTAATATCAGTAGGAGGGGACATTTTAAATATCTTCAAGGCCTTTTCCCATTTTTTTTCGTTGGGTTCACGAAGCGAACGAAGCTCAGAACCCACAACTTTAATAGCTAGCGGAATGCATCCAGCATAACGGACTGCCTCTTTTGATAGTTCCACGTATTCTGATGGAGGCTTTCTTTCATCAAAAGCAGTAAAATTAAAAAGATCAAGAGCTTCACTATCACTCAACTGCTTCACCTCGTCCTCATGTGTTTCGACCCCATTGTTACGTCTAATCGTCCTAAGGACCTTTTGCTCTCTTGTCGTCAGGAGAATCCTACTACCAGACGCAAAACAGTCACCATCACCGACTAAATGCTCTAACTGCTTTGATTTACTTACATCATCCAAAACAATAAGAACCCTTATTTTCCTGAGCCTCATTTTGATGATTTCTAGCGAAGATGGCGTTTCCAAATCAACTGTTTTTTCCCCCAACAACTTAGCGAAGAGCTTCTTTCGTAATTCCTCTAATCCATCATATACTCTCTCTGATTCTTCCCTAACATTTTTGAGAAAGCAACAACTTTCAAAGTGAGAAAAGATTCGACCATATACTGCATTGGCAAGGGTTGTTTTGCCTATGCCACCCATTCCAAACAAGCTTATTATGCGAGTATTTGCTGACCCAATACTTAATAGCGATTCAAGCTGTTCACAGCGTTCTTCCATTCCAATCATGCCCTTCAAAGCATCAGCACTTGACAAGACAGTACTTTGCAATTTTTTCAACACGTCTTCAACAACTTCTTCAATTAACTTAGTGTCAGGCCTGTATATAAGAAAGAAAGTTAACAGTTACTATATGAAATAGCTTTTAAAAAATATATAAAAATATATGTAATGGAGTTATTGGAGTTCTAATTCTTAAAACAATAGTATCAAATCTTAATTACCACGGTCTAACTTAGATTATAAATTACGTACCTTTTATTTTGGAATCTCTATATACGTAATAATATTGAACAAGTACCAGAACAATTAATTCACAGGATCCTTAGTAATAACTACTATATTGAGTAAATTGATGCATGTAGTACAAATTAGTAGTAACTAGTTTAATTTTTTGTATGATTATATTTCGCTTTTAGTCGTCTCAATGATATACTCACATCTGCTTCTGCATATTTTAGCGTGACCAAACAATCATTAAATGATTTTATTTTATTTATTTTTTTGAAGCATTATGCAGTGAACTTCATATCTACAAATATAAACAATTTATTCCCATGCATTGAGTTTTGTAAAATTAGTTTTATTTTATATTTTTTATATTTCTATGCATTAAAAATTATTTTTTATAATATACATTTAAACCTTTTGATTTATCCAAGTTAGATTCTGAGTATTGTTTACTTATTTATTCCAAATTGGAATTTAAACAGCCTTATGTTTTCATGAATTATAAATTCTATTTTGTATAAGAAGTTTTGCTATTTTACTTATTTTTTTTTTTTTAAACTTGAAGTGGGGGAAATTGGGCTCTACACCTCATGGTAGAATCCGAATATTAGATGGAATGGTTATGAGGAGGAAAATTTTTAATAAATACCCTAATTTTCCACACTTTAAAAGTCTTATATAAACATGTTTGTTCATCAACACTGTCCACTTTCTATCACAACCAAAACGAGTAGGCCTATTTTATAAATTAGTTGTATTTATTCAAATTTGCGTCTTTATACATGAAAATGTAAATATTACACATGCATAAGTTGAACTCAAACTATAGATTGAATCAGCATACTTTCTCAATCTATTTTCATAATAAAAAATTCAAATAAATTTTAGAATTTTTACAGCGTGAGCTGTTCTTTTTTTCTACCGCTAGAAACTATTGTTTTAGCTATTGAATTAGTATTTCAATAGTCTAAAGTGTAATTGGGAGCATTTTGTGTTGCATTTTATAAATATTTCACGTGGACATTTATAGATCAAAATGTTGAAAAATAATATAGCAGTTAAAATAACAATCCCTTCTCATCGTGAAAAATGATAATTCCCAAGGCCTGTTTGCATAAAATTTTTGTACTTACAAGAGAATACAAGATAAACAACATTTTTTTTAGTAACAGGGACATGGCTAATCCACGCCCCTAAAACTAGGGGTCATAGAAGAATTCGTTCAATCGCTAGCAAATTGACACTAAGCTTTCTGCAACACCAAAGTCAACAAATCAATTCTAAGAGTTTGAATTTAATTTTTTTGTTTTGGAATCTGAAAGGCTTTTTAATTTTAATGTCGAGTCATGAATACGGAATATGGGTTTGTAGTCCTATAAAATATTGTCTAATATTATTTCATTTGAGAATAAGTTATTTGCGAATTGAGTTATTCTAAATAGAGTTTCTCTTTTATTTCATTGTTCTTAAAATTATTGAGAGAATAAAGAAGACTTTGATAACCTTACCTTATGATATTCTTGGGAGAATGCCCTTAAAACTCATTTGTGTTGATTATGATAATAATAATCTGATATCCGTTATCCGCTCTCATCATTCAAAATGTATATATACATATATATTCATACAAAAATCCATCCTCTCTCATCATTCTATATATATGTATATATATATATATATATACATATATAGATTATTTACATGAATGGTCTCCAAACTCTTTAATAAATAACAATTTGATCTTTAATTTTTTTTTTCAAAATGACCCTTAATCTCTTTAAAAGGTGACAGTTTAATATTTTCTGTCAAATAATTTATAGAATTAATCATGTACAAGACATGTGATCTTTTTAAAGAAAGTATTTTAGTAAAATTTAAAGCATGTGATCTTATTAAAAATGATATTTTAATAAAATAACTCAGAGAGCACAAGAGACGAGAGAGAAAGAGAGCTTGTCTTGATATTTTATCAAAATATCATCTTTAATAAAATCAAATGATTTACACATGATTAATTATGTTAAGAATTTGACGAATAAAGACCAAATTGTGGGGTCATTTTGTTAAAAAAAATTAAATATCAAAGTGTCACTTACTAAAGAATTTAAAGACTATTTGTGCAAATAACCCAAAAATATTCATAAAAAACCCATACACAGCTGAAAAAAATAAAAAACACTATACAATATTGATATGTGATCTGACCTGTAGAGGGGTACTTTAATTCGTTAATTAAAAAATATTTAATGATAAAAAAGACACTTTTCCCACAAACTTTATAATGAACGGAAGCGATGTCTTTGTAATTTTTCTAACAACTCAAAGTGTTCCAAGTAAAATATTTCGGTCATGGGTGTTTGTTTTAATAGGTTAGCACTCTATAAATTTTAATTACGTTTACGCTTGCAATTTAACTTTGAACAAATAACTGCCAATTAACAAAATGTGTCAAACTAAATAACAGTCATATTAATCTTAAGAGGTGAAGTATTTTAACATGTTTAATTATAGCACAAAAAAAAAAAGAATGTATACTGAAGAATAGTTTCAATTGCTAGCAAAATGATAGATGTTACTCGGATATTGTTCTGCAACAATTTAACAAATTTATTCAGAAGCTTCTAGAAAAAAGTTTGTGTGCATGTATTCCTTCATTACATTTATGTAAAAACTGTCGGTAGAAACATGAGTGAAAAAACAAATACCTTGTGACTTGTGAATCTCATCCAGAAAGATCAGCTTATTTTGTTAAAGCAACTCTCCATTTTTCAACCATTTCCTTGTTGTCCTGGAAACGATTTTCATGCCTTTTGAATGATTCCTCGTAACTTTTTTCTTGTTTCCGTATAACAGATGGATTTACTCTGTAAAAAATAGGTATTGCTATCTGTTTATTGTTTCGGCGACATTCAAGTATATGTTCGAGCTCACGCAAACACCAGGTTGAAGAAGCGTAATCTTCTGAGAAAATGATTATTGCAATATTTGACTTCTGAATTGCTTCAGGAAGTGCGAGATTGATGTCGTCTCCTTTCTGAAGGATCTCCTCATCGATATAAGTCTTAATCTGCTTTCGTTTCAAAGCAGCATAAAGATGACTTGTGAAATTATCGCGCGTGTCTTCACCTCTAAAACTGAGAAAGACGTCGTATTTCTCACAAATAGAGGAACGACAAGGAGGAGAAACACCAAAACCATCCATATCAACAAATAGAATGAAAGCTCTCTTTGCGACTTGACGCCTTTGAGAAGGAAAGTTTGATAAAAGCAAGACTAAAGCTTGAGAAGAAGTTGCAGACCTTAAAGTAAACTTGCTTGAGACTTCCTTGTGCGTTCTAGTACTTTTAGGAAGACAAGTATATTGCCCATGCCAGTTCATTTCCACTCACGCGTTTTCAACAGAATACAATTAAAATAAACTTGCTTGAGAGACTTCCTTGTGCGTTCTAGGAAGAAGACAAATAAGTCAAACACGTCAAGTATACTGCCCATGCCAGTTCTTTTCCACTCACGCGTTTTCAATAGAATATAATTAAAATCTTAATTAAAAACGAATGGGCATATCATGTGACTATATACCCTATTTAAATATGAAAAATTAGATATCCGATAATAATGACTGTTACACCATGGTCGACCATTCAAGTCACCCACTTTTGTCGTACGCGTCAAGAGCTCCAAAAGTCAGGACAAATCTCTGTTGTCGAGAACTAACAGTTAGGGAGATGTCTCTAGGTTGAGGAGCGCTCTTGGAGTCAAGAAGTGCTTAAGGTCCTCCCAAGGCCTTTGCATCATTGAAGTCGAGAAGTCTACTAAAAGCCCTTTGAAGCCTCTGCGTCGAGGAGTCAAGGTGTTGGAGTCGAGAAGTGCTTAAGGTCCTCTCAAGGCCTTTGCATCATTGAAGTTGAGAAGTCTACTAAAAGCCCTTTGAAGCCTCTGCGTCGAGGAGTCAAGGTGTTGGAGTCGAGAAGTGCTTAAGGTCCTCTCAAGGCCTTTGCATCATTGAAGTCGAGAAGTCTACTAAAAGTCTTTTGAAGCCTTTGCGTCGAGGAGTCAAGGTGTTGGAGTCGAGAAGTGCTTAAGGTCCTCTCAAGGCCTTTGCATCATTGAAGTCGAGAAGTCTACTAAAAGTCCTTTGAAGCCTCTGCGTCGAGGAGTCAGGAATTAGATCAGACTGGAAGCAGTCCAGTCAAATCCAGCCACGGTCTTGTCAACTCGAAGAGAGAAGTATTGATCCGACTGCAACTGCAGGAGTCAGGAAATCAGGCGGCAGATAGGAAGGATCAACTGCGTTTCCCGGAGCAATCATCATGAAAACCCACCTATCCTCATGCGGATCGAAGGCAGAAGATGGCTTCTTCCTTGGGAACGGGGAATACGTATCCACATGTAAAAGCCTATAAATAGAGCCAATAAAACCCAGAAAAGGGGTTTTTTAGGTACTAGTTCATTAGAACTAGGGAGCTTGTAACTGGATGAAATATTAGTGCATGCACAAATGGATTAGGCACAAAATTATTGCCGAACCACTATAAAATTGTTGTCTCCTTTACATTATTTTTCAGTTTTTATCTTTGATTGAACCGTGAGTGTTTTTTAAAGAGGTAATTACGAGTTGTCGGAAAAACACCGTCAACAATGATCTCTATTCAATCTTTTGTCGAGCGACGGAAGTAGAAATGTTTATAAGTGGAGATAATATATAATTAAAAAAAATACTTACTATAGTGATACTTTCTGTATTTTATTAATAGTTTAGTCACATTCATTTAACTGAAACTAATCACAGAGGTATTTCCTGACCTAAACTCTGTTAAATTTGTTTTTAATATTAGCAATTGATCCATAAAAGTCAAATCCCAACCGTCCATTCAATCTTTTATTATCTGAGGAAAAAAAAAAACGTAGATCACACTGCTCCATTACCAGAACCCCCTCTCACAACCCCTCCCGCCCGTGTGAGCCAACCATTGCCGACGCCAGCCGCGCTGACGGCAACCCAGCCCCTGCGACGCCGTTCCTCAACCTCCATAGTAAAATGATGAGTTCTCATTCATTTCTCATACGTTGCATATCAGAAATTGTAAGGGCACCTTCATTTTACCTAGAAAACTGGGACTTGGCTTTGGGGAGGATTTAGACCGGCGGAAGGGAAATTTGCGGGAAGATGATGGAAAAAATTGCAGGAGCTCCACGACCAAGGCTGGTTTTTGTTTTTTGTTGTTCTTTTTAATAGATTTGAGCGAATAATTCTAAGCTTGAGATGAGATTGAAGAACACCTTCATCTATGTTGCAGAGGGAGAAGAAGAATCAGTGGAATTACAACTAAAAAATTCAAGGACTTGTTTCGTAGAAGAAAATGGGTTTCTGCAAGCAGTTTTTTTTTTTTTTTTTTGTTGATTTGTCTTTTCTGTAGTTGAAAGTAACCAAAATGTAACAGTTGGATGTTTTTACAGGAAGTAATTCCTGAACTTCTGGGTTCTAGGCATTTTACATGGCCATTTTCAAAGCTCTAAACATGCAGATGATGGAAAAACTGATTGAGAATACAAGAATTAATGAGACTACACGTTTTTTTTTCTTTCTATTTTTCTCCTATGGTAGTTGATATTTAGGTGTTTGTGTAGTATCTCCAAAGTTGATAGCAGTTCAGTTTTGTATGTGTGTGTGTGTTTTTTTTTTTTTTTTTGTTTTTGGTTCAAGTTTAGGCGTTTATTGAATTGCTTTTGTTCTGAAAAAAAAAAAAAAATACAGACCGAAATAAACTCGAGAAACGGGATAAATAAAGCCTTCGTTAAAGTTAGTTTCATAACTGTGTAAAAAACAATTAAACGTGTTTTTCCATGTTAAATAAGGATAAGACCGATATTGTGAGCATTATATATAGCTTATAAAACGTTTTCTGATACTGCCGGGGCATTTTTGGCATTTCAAAATAAATTAGTTGCCAACTTGGATGGTCAACTCACCGTCAACAAAAGAAGGGAGTGTCTGTAATTTTTTTTTTAAGTGCATGTTTGGTTGGGAGATTGAGGGATTCAAATCTCCTGATTAAGGTCAAATTAGTGTTTGAAAAGACAAAAATAAACAGTAAAAAATGGGATTAGAAAAGTGATTGGGATCATTTTGGGGCCTGATTTTGGAATCAGGCCATCATGACATCGTAAGATGTCTCGCCCGAATGAATTAGTTGGTACTAGAAATGTTAGAAAAAGTGAACGAAAAGAGTAATAAGAAGTGAAAAGGACAGAGACACTTCCCAACCAGAAAGCAAAGTTCCCACTGATGGTATACTTAGTGTAAGCGAGCTCTAAGATCACATCTTTGGAATAAAATCCATATGCGGGTGAGAATTTTTCTCATTGGCTTGTTATATAATTGTTCTCGTATTTGATGTGGCGAATTTTTTTCTACTAATTGGCTTGTTATAAATTGTTGCTCGCGGGAGACAAGTTATGTTTGGCTTTTATTTTTAATTCACATTTTTTTCATATATTTCTCACTTAGCTTGTTATAATTTTGAGTTATAATTATTTGCATAATTTTTTTCTAATACTTTATTTTTTTAATTATACGACGAATTATATATATTTTTAAATTACACGTAACGATTTATATTTATTATATAATTTCTCAAATTATATTTATTTTGGTTATGATTTAAATTCAGAAAATAAGACAACTAAACACTGGTTCGAATCACATTTCAGGTTAGAATCAGAATCATGCATATACACATCCAAACGAAGGTTATGATCACTCTGAATCATGATTCAAATCATGAATCATGGATCTGAATCAAATGACTCAAATCACCATGATTTCAATCCTTATACCAAACGAACCCTAAAAGTTAGGAGTGTTGACGTGATTAGTTTCAATTGAGAATGTGTGATTATAATATTGATAAAATACAAACAGTGTTAGCGCAACAAGCACTAAAAAAAAAATAATAAGTATAAGATACTAGGATTAAAGTTTTATGTTTAGTGGGGGCTATATTCATATTAATATAGGAAATTATATAATTCTATACATTTTTTTTTAGAAAAATAACCTCCCTCCGAATATGCTTTTGTGGAAAGCTTTTTATGTTAGGGTACTTACAAGATGGAAAATTTTATGATTGGATAAGTATTATTAGTCGTTTGATTAAATTGTGATCTAATTTATGAGTGTTTACATTGAAAAAAGGAACAACGTCAAACCAAAAAAGTATTGCTATTTATAAATTAGATTGTTGAAGTTTAGAAAAAAAAAATAAAAAACAAAAAGAAACGTGCCCCATCATAAATATTTTCCTAAAATATTACATCCACTGACGAAAAGCATATTAATATATTAATTATATACATACACAAAAGGAACATAACTCGATAGAAATCTTATAATACAAACAATGCCACACTAAGTGAGTTTTGTACCTAACCTACTAAAAAAATTATTGCTTTCTGTAAAGCCAGAAAAAAAGGGAAATCACAGTTTATTTTGCAATCACAGGTCGTACAAAGAAATTAGCGGAAAAATTCAAAAAATGAAAGACATTTGAAAAAAAAAAAGAAAAGAAAAAGATATTTGGCCATGCACAACGTTAATACTTCGGATATAATTTAGTGTCTTAACGAACAATAATACCCTTTTTTTAATAAATAAGCATTCATTACTTCATATTGTAAATATGTAAGCCATATTTTGTCACATAAAATTTATTTAAACTCGTTAGTGCATTCAGTAATAATGCTATGATTAATTCTTAAAATTTGTTAATAAATTATATGTGTCAATTAAACTAAACCCCTAAGTCTGTTAATACTCAAAATGTGTCCATAAACCTAAGATCGTTATAATTAATTACTACACCATAAAATTTTTGTGAGGGGATAGATCATGAGATCGTCTATTAGATAACTCCCATCTTTTTTAATTATTATTTTAAGGGAACTAATCCCCATTTCTTAGTGCGCTTAAATTTCTTTCTTGTAAAAGAAGACGGAAATTTCGTGGAAAGATAAGAGGAGACGCAAATATTTGGCCCCATGTGAATTGAGCATAAATTGCATAGATCATCATTTTAAACGTAAAAACATATTTTTTAATATTTTTTATTTTATTTTACAGTGAATTAGTAGTCGATATAATATTTGATAAATAGGGTTAAAAACACCCTTGCAATGTCGAGTCAGGCTTGTTCTTTTGGAGTGTAACTTGAGTGTAGTTTTTGACTTGAATTTAAGTTATAACTTGAGTTGAAGTTGTAACTTAAATAAAGTTGAGTAAAGTTGAATAAAGTTTGAATTTAAAAGAGCATGAACTTAAATAAAATTAGAACTTGAGTTCTCTTTTTTTTTTTGAATTTTTTAGACAAAAGAACATACCCG